AGCTGTGGGTCCATCACCTCTGTCTCCTTTTCTCAAAATCATTTCAGTGGATGGACAAGCAGTGCAGGTTTGTGGATTTTGAATTTCTCAAGCTGCACAGGCACCAGAGGACAGGAGGCTGGACATAGAGCCCTGGAAAGGGAGTGGGGATGGGGAGGTGGGGGAAAGCAGGAATGAAGTCCCTAACTCTAGAAGGCAGCCACGTATTTATTACTATTGGCAACTTGGGCTACATCCTTAAAACAAAAAAAGTGAGGAGTGAGACAAAGTCAGGCTCTATTTCCGTGGCTCTCAGACCTGGCTAAGTATCAGCAGCACCCCACCGGTAGAGTTTTAAAGCCCAGCAGCCTTAGGTCTCCAGCTCGGGTCCACTCACCAGAATCTCGGGGACGGCCCCTAACATCAGTATTAAAATGCCCCATGTGCTGCTGATGTACAGCCACAGATAAGACCCACTCATCTATTTGGTACATGACAGTACAAATAGAAAAAGAAAATTACATGTATATTAATTTAAAGACAACTTTAAGTGTATATTAATTGAACAAAATCAGGGAGAGACTTACCGCCACCTAAAACTTTGCGTGCCTACCACCAAAGAGTTGCAGTCCTGCCAAGGCCAGGCTGTGCCGCCTGCATGAGAAAGCCTGGGATGGAGGCACGGGACATCTTTCCAGAAATTCGCAAAGGTAAGGACATCAAGGAAGGAGCTCACCTAAATTGTACTCTATCTTTCCAATGACCAGGAGAAAAGCGTTCTTAATCTTTCTTCACAAGAAAAATGTATCAAGTGCTTATGACAGGCTTGGCGCTGCAGGAAAGAAGTTTTTTTTTAAAGTTCATAGAAAGTAAGGCACCTGTCCTGGCTCTACTCAAGGTTCTGCCAGTGCAGTGATGCTCTGAATACGCCATGAAGCTGGCGATGGAGAGTGACTCTTGGATCCTACTGATGGAGGTTGCTGCCTTATTACAAGGGTGTGCTCCACCTACGAGGTGCTAAGCATCCAGGACATGATCGAAGCAGGCTGAGTAGAGAGTTCCATGCTGAGCACATAGTAATACAATATACTGAATGATAACCCCATGGGGTAAAAAAAAAAAAGCCAGCCAAGCCTTGCAGAAATCAGGTCACGCTTAATAAGAATCAGCTGGTAGGTTTTCCCTAGTTCCCCTATCCTATTTTCTTTTTGCTTGTTTTGCTTGGACACCTGTAATCATAGTGCATTTTCATCAAAAAGATGAATAAAGAGCCCTGGCTGGATATCTCAATGGGTTAGAGTGTCAGCCCAAGGTACCAAAGTTGTGGGTTTGATCCCCAGTCAGGGCACATATATGAAGCAACCAATGAGTGCATGAAAAAGCAGAATAACAAATCAATCTCTCTCTCTCAAATCAATTAAAAAAATAAAAAATTAAAGGATGAATAAGGAATAGGAAATAAAAGGAGGGGTATCCACATAATGCATTTCCTCTTGTGTATTCTCTAAGGTCAACCCATTATAATACAGATTTAGAAAGAAAAATCAATAAGGCTTTTCTCTATATAATCCATCTGAAACATAGTTGGCCTCTGCTTTGAAACAGAAATTACGATTCCCAGAAGCATCTCTAATAAAACACACTTCATCCTCTCCTGGGTCAGGAAAGGCTTAAATAGGGGGCGGAACCCTCCTCCGACCCTTCAGAGCAGGGATGGCTGTGGACTTTCTCCTCTCTCCCCTCTCCTCACACCTCCTTGCTTTTCTTCCTTCTTGCCTTCCTTGTAATTCTCCCGGGCTGGGAATGCCCAGTGATGTCTGCCCTATTTCTGGGGAGATGAAAGATACAGGTGCATGATTTTTCTCTAACATTCCAAATGTTTCAGGTTGGAACTTGCACCTTGAAAGAAAAGGAAATCTTTGACAAACGGCTCCAATCACTTTTCATGTGTACAAACAGATGTCCAGTTACCAGAATCAAATACTTGTTCCCTTTTAAACAATTATGGGTCACTCATTCATGGATTTAGTCCACAGACATTGGCTGGTGACTCCTTGTGCCTGGTACTACTGGGGAGGAAAGAAAGGTAGGCACACAGGGGATTGTAAAAGACAGCATGGTAAAGGAGTGGATCTAATCACTCGGGAAAATCACTGGTAGACTGCTTTGAAGCATCACTGACGTTATTTTTGCTTTTCAAATGCAGCTTGATTTGGTGATTGAATGCCGTGTCAATTCAGGTAGCAACAGAAACACGTTGCCCTGGCATTCTCCTCTCTATTCCGTTTAATTAAGTCAACATCAACTAGTAATCACTTCAGTTTGTCCTTTGTGATACAGAAGGGTTCTTCTACTTGGCGTTTCACAACTGAGTGACTTTTGTGGAGAAGAGATTAGGAATAATTTGCATCTCTTGCTCAGTTATCTCCCCCAGCCTCTGGGTGGGGGGTGGGGGTACAGGAATGTCAGAATGCAGAACAGGTTCACCGAAGCCACCGGGACCTTTATTTCCTCCTGTGTCCCCTTTCCTCCCCACTGCCATTGGGGCTGTGAGGACGACCACCATATGGATCCACCCAGCCCCATATGGCTCCATCTCCCTGAAAGGGGTGCTCAGGAACATAAAAACACGGCCATATACTTTTATTGCAGCCCTTTCTCATTTTCCTCCATCTGTCCTCCATATGTTTACGAGACTCTTATTAGGCTCTTGCACACGGAGGCCTTTATCATGAGGTCTGTGGGGCTGACCAAGATAAAGAGCTAGACTACCCCTCTGTCCATGACAAGGGGCCTTGATTACTTTAAATAGGTCATTCACCTAGTATTCAAACTAAAACGAACTCATAACCAGCTCTCTTCCACTTGTACATACAATGCATTTAATTTCATATTTACGATAGTTCTCTTAATTTTATCAGCAGAAACCACATGCTGGTTTTCTGTGGAGTTTTCTGCAAAGCGCTGTTTGTGAGGTTTTGAAAAACTGCCTATGGCTTCCACTGAGGTGTCCCTATTACATGCACATCAATCTAAAGCTGACATTTTAATTTCCGCAAAATTCTCCGTCGACAGGAGGAAAAGTTGTTACGGCTTCTTCCCTCAAGTGCCTGTGTGGCAACGTGACTTGCGTCCTCCTCAAACTCTGAGAACAGGAGTGGGGAGGATGCCAGGCTGACCCCGATGGTGCCGTCCCTCCCCGTCCATCCACTGCGTCCAATCTGCTTTGCTGGGCACATGGCTCAAGTGGCACATTTGATCCCAGTGTTGTTACAATTGATAGGAAGGTGGAATGACAATCACTAGACACCACACACAGCCCCATGTCCCACTAGGAGACAACTCCTGGCATTAGCAACAGCGATGGGGGCGACTGTCCGTCCCGAGGGTCCAACGGTGGGAACCCGTTAGTGAGCAGCTAGGCTATCTTTCACAAAAAACTAACGACAGTGAGAAAGGAAGGAAAAAGAAGTCAAGTTGGGCCTCGAGTTGGCTTCAATAATCTCTACTCTTATCTGAGTGACCGAAACACAAAGTCTTGTGTTAAATAACGGGTGCCACTAAGAAGACAGAATTCAACCCCCCGCAACCTCGACCCATGTTGAAAGGCGTGTGCCTCACGGTGGGTCGTCTGCCAGTGTTCTAGTCCAAACCACCTGTGTACAGCAGCCCGGCGGTCAGCACCTGGGAAATCACGGCCGGTTCCGTGATGATTACCTCTGATGCAGCTCAACCCGGGAACTCTGCTCCAGTGCACGAGATACTAATCGATGGGCGTAGGAAAAAACCCAGCAAGTGTCACGAGAACACATTTTTCTTTTAAGTTGTTTGTGAACAAATGACGATTATTGATTTTTTTCTCCCCCAAACATACATATGCAAAATCAAGTCCTTATTTGACTTGTCAGATCGAACACACTATTACTGTCAGACACCTGGCTGGGCCATTTCGCTCCCCCCCCCCCCCCGCCTGCTGACATGTTGTACCCATCTTTGTTCCTCTTTATAATGCAACATAGAAGCCAGATGTGGGTTAGGTTCAGAAGAACCTTCTGGGACCCAAGGAAATTCTTGCTTCCACCTAAGCTGTCATTTCACAATCCTTCCTGCACGAGAAAGACCCAAGGAGTCACTCTGTACTAGTGCAACTGAAACAGGCCCTTTCCTGCTGCAGTCAACACGCTGCTGCAAACTGCGGGCCTCACAGGTGCTCTGGGGGCAGCAGAAAGTGCATGTTAGTCCGAGGTTCAAGTTACAGAAGTCAGGCTGCAGCCAGAGGCCTACTCATCGGGACAATTGCTCCAGACTGGAACAAATGACAAATTCTGGTGAAGAGAAGCAAGTACTAACCCTTCTGTGAGAAAGAAAGTGTGGGCAGGTCATTCTGCAAATGCAATAGTAATGCTGCCAGAGTGCAAGGGTGAAACAGCTGAACAGATCTATTGCTCCCAGATTAAAAGAAAGGACAGGAGGTCTGATCAGTAAGACTTTAGTGCATTATAATCCCTGGTCCGAGGAGCCATGCATGTCATGTTCTGCACAGCAGGGCGTGCTCTGAGCAGTTTGTAAACCACTTGGGAAAAGGCAGAACTTGCTAAGCTTATAGTTGCAGAGTACTTGCATTAATTGTTAGCATTTCTGTGGAAGGCAATTCCCTCACTTCAGCACCAGCACAGGCCAGGTGAATGCTCGTTAACCGCCTTGCATTTCTTCCCATTATTGAACACTGGCTATTGAATGCTGGCCTCTTGCCAAATGCCTTTAGGTACTATTGGGTAAAAATTGCCAAAGGAGCAAGAACATTTGCCTTCGTATCATTTTCTTTGTACAGCTACTTCCCAGGCAACTGCTTAGACCTACATGTGTCCATTTACCGGATTTAAACAAAACAGTGGGGAAGGGCGCAGGGCACAGGCTGCATCAGCCCACCCTGGGTCAGCAACAGCGGGAGCTTTGCCCCTAAGGACACTGACGAGGGCAGCCACCACTGAGTCTGGAAGCAGGAGATACCCCAGTCTTACCTGTTTCTTTGTCCTGGACTTCTTCCAGGTGCAAGTCATTCAAAAGGTGCTCCAAGATCTTCTCCGGGGTCCCAGACACCACCACGTATCTGTCAGAGAGCAGAGAGTCCACGGAATCATCCTCGGTTGAAGACTGCGAGCGGCTGCTCCATTCATCGTCCTCATCCTCCTCGTCAATGTATTTGAAATAAGGCACATCGAAGGTAGGCAGGGGCAGCTCTCGGTCTGAGAGCGCTGCGGAATCCTTCCTCTCTAAATGAGGGTCAAAGACCCTCAGCCGGGAGCTGCCCATTGTGCCCGGCTACTAACAAAGGCATCCCCTAAATGCTAAAAGATCTTGGCCACCTCAGTCTTTTCACTGAGAACTGAGTCCATCTGGCTGCTAAGGGCTCTGCAGTCAGCTAGAACGCTGGAGAGGCGGAGAGAAAAGGGAGGGGGAGGGAAAAGGAGGCAGAGCAAGCAAGCTAGCGAGCCAGCCAGCCAGTGAGAGGGAGCAGGGAGGGCAGGCAGGCAGGCAGGCAGGCAGGGGAAAGGAAACAGGAGCGCGTGCCGCGGTGGGAACTCACCTCCAATCACTGTCGGCGCTCCCGCCTGGGGGGGCCGGGCCACAGCGCTGCACCTTCTTCAGCACCAGGACATTCTGCTCCTGCTCTCTAACAGTCATCACTTCTTCGTCCTGCTCGAATAGGGGGTGGGGGCAGGAAAACGGGAGAGAGGAAATTAAAGAGAAAAAAGAAAGGAACTAAGTAAAGCTGAATTTCCTTGGGTTGCTTTGTATCATCATTTCTTTAAAGATTCAGAAGAAACCAGGAGTCTGGTCAAGAATCTCCCTCTAGGACAGTGTCCAGGTTCAAGTTCTACGGACACGTAGGGCGTGAGGGAGACATAAATACTTTAAAGCAAACAGAAAAAAGTAAAGTGGGGCTAGGATTCAGAGAGTTCAATTATAAAGCTACCTGATTGATATGAATTAAGAAATCCAAAGTTCGAAGTCTCAAAAAACGCAACATATGAATTGCATGTATTCCCTTTTACCTAGTACCTGGCTGAGGCTTATTAAACAATCACTCTTTTAAAATGGGAAAGGTACTTACAACATCATTTAAACACTAAAAAAATGAATGAGCCACATTAAGTAGCTGTGGTAGGTACATCATGTTTGCTCACATCACAGGCTTGCTCCAAAAGGCAAGCCAAAAACTACCTATTCTGTCCTTCGGTTCATTTTTTTTCAGACTTGAGATGGCCTTCTAATGTACTGTGCACTTGTTTTGCCAGAATACAAGCAAAAAATAGATCTTCAGTAAGAATCTCATCCGGGCTGAAATTCAGACGTCATGGGTGAGTGCACTGACTTTCTTCCCCTCAGTCCTTCTGAAAAGGGAGGAGGCTGAACGATCCTTCATTTCTGCACACGCAGCTCCCACGGCTAGCTCGGAGCCCAGTGGCCCGCTGACGCGGCTGTCGGCGCGGGCTCACTGCTGACCCAGCAAAGTGCAGCCCGACCCTGAGTGATGAACTCTCCCAGAGTTCGGTGAAATTCTCCGGATGCACTCGCAACACCCAGATAAGTGTAAGATAGCTGGGGAGGGCGGGGGTGGGTGTGGGCAAGAACTTTAAAATGCATGTAAGAAATCTAGCTTCTGTCTATCTGAGGATTTGCGCAAAAGACCAAAGCAAGAAAAGTTGATAGTAAGTAGGCTTCACCTGAAAAGTGATGTCACTTCGGGAGGAAAGGAAACATGCCCTAGGGTTCTCAGCCTGCTTCTGCTACTGGCAGAAAACCCCACCTTATAATTAACTACAAACATAAAGAATATTCCCCCCAAATGATAAAAGGTACTAGGTCCGTTCTACCTTATTATTATTAATCAGCTTATTATTAATCAGCTTATTATTAATCAGCTCCACAGATCTATCAGGGGTGTCAATGTATTTTATTCACCCTTCATTAAAAAAAAAGACACTCATCTTGTCCTAATTGGCAACCAAATCAGTGATAAAATTATGATTTCAACTCCCAGGGCCTGACTCCTAAGAGAATGTACTGACCTAGTCATTTCCGTACTCTGAGATTGTCTCAAAAACAAAAACACTGGTCATTCTGAACAGCAGTATAATTTTATGATGAGTCTCTTTACTCTTTAACTCTTTCAGTGGCAAATCATTTCACTATGTAAAGCTGGTGCGTTACGTTTCAGCAAGGTCAGACATGCAGTTACTGTGGCAATTAATGTGCAGTAGTCATTGTTCAACTCCCCAAGGGCCGTGGTGTGACTCTGTAACGTGAATACCAATGTGTAATTGCTATCTTTCATTTCTCCAAAGGGGTTCTTTTGTTATCCACGTGAAATACGGTGGCTAAAGAGAGGGGCATATATCAACCAAACAACAACAACAAAAAGCCCCAAATGAATGGGGGTCTGGGATACTGAGACACCCAGAAACAAATGATGCAGTAAACAGTAGATTTGAGAAGACAAAAATCTCTCCCTGGTCTCCCTGTGCTTGTAAGCCAGGGCTCATTTTCTATGAGCCCACTGTCACTCCAAAGTACATTTTCCATTCTACGTGCGCGTGATATATGGCGTTATTAACTTCCCCAGGCCATGCGCACACATATGGATGGGACGGGCCCCACTGACGCCTGTGTAACTAATGCGTGTTACAGGGCCGAGCGCGCACACACACACACACACACACACACACAGCAGCCACACTCTGCTGGGCGGGGGGAGAACTGAATCATACTGATGGACTATCAGTAGCATCTAATGACAGTCCTACTTTCCATTTTGAAAACCTGTTCAAAATAAAGAAGAGAAAAAGCAGAAAAATCAATGTATGAAGGGAGAGGTAAGCTTTCTAAAATTGCCGTGAACATGTAATAACCCTCTGTATTGTACGTGGCTCTAAAGAAGAAAGGTTAAATTAACACCTTCCAGCACCTGCATCCTTTCCTGCTTGCTCTTATTGAAAGACAGTGGATCTGTCTTATTGAAAGACAGATCCCCGTGGTTGGGGATCTGGGCTCGAAACTTTAGTCCAGTGCTTGCTTGGTTAAAAATAAAAGCATTAGAGAACTAATGACGAAAAATATGTTCAGTGACAAACAGCTCATGAAATGCAAGCAAAGCATTAACACACTCAATTTAAGGCCATTTGTTCAACAAACAGCGAGGCCCTCCCTTGCTAAGGCACTGTGCTGGTCACCAAGCGACATGCAGAGATGAGTGACACGTGCCCTGCCCTTAAATGACAGGTTCCCTACCAACGTAAGTCTCACACGGTGAGCACCTGAAGAGGAGGTGACAATGCAGGAGGCAATGCAAAGCTGCAACCCCTGGGACCTGATGGTGACAGAATGGGACGCCATGAACGGGGACAAAAATGCCCAGAGAAACTGGTTCTGGTGAGAGTGATGAGTCCAGTTTCAGAAAGATGGTGTTTTAGCACCGAGAATACAATTCATCACGCTGTGGATGGTTAGCAGGCAGTTAAAAAGAAAGAACAAGGCCCCTGGACAAAGGTCAAGGACAGAGACCAATCTGTGAATTCCTCAAGTTTGGGGAGTGGATGAGGTTGTTAAGAGGGAACAGGAGAGAAAGAGAACTGGGAAGATGGGGATAAAGAAAGAAAACACACAGCAAGTCGGGGGAAGGGGTAGGGCATCAGGGTCATGGGGGACCCTAGGGACAGAGACTATGAAAAACTAAAATCCAGACAAGTCGGGAAGACCTGGGGGACACCGCCTCTGGAGAGTCCAAGAAAAAGTTTCTCTGACACTGCAGAGTTCACGAAGACGGCAAGTCGGAGACAGAGGGAGGCTCAGTAGTGGGAAGGGCAGTGTTGAGGTGTGAGTGGGGAGAAGTGAACAGGGAGGGAGGCCTTGTCCCGGGGACGTTGTCACGAAAGGAAGGATTCAGAGTGAAGAGCCTGTGCGGCTGGGATGGCAGGGAGGGGAGTGGGGTCCTGGGGAGACGCGACAGGATTGGAACACAAGTGGTGGGGGGCGAGGCTACAAAAGGACTGAGATTTCATCTTTTCAGAGAGGATGGTGAGGAAGGGGATAGTGAAGATTTAGGAGAAAGCGGAGATAATGAGGAAGCTGAGGTAGATTCTAGGTGATGGTTTTTTCTTCTTAGTACAGCGGGAACCGAGACCAGCTGATGGAACTTCATGGAGAGGTTGGTGGCCTAATGGGATTATTGGAAAAATGGGTTCAGGGGGCACGACAGGCAGTAAACAAGTTGTGAATAAAAGGACTGCGAGGCACCTGGGGACTGCTGAGGGTGGAAAACACTTGCCTACAGTTTTATGCCTTTCTGTTGAAGTGCTCAGAAGCCTCAGAGGGAAATGGTCAGCAACGGGGCCACCGGGGAGAAGGGATGGGCAAAGGGAACAACAGGACGTGACCGGGGAGGGATTCTGGGCGGCCGTCAGCACATCAGGACGACACTCATCACCAAGTGCTGTCTGTCTGCTGAGGGGAAGGAGTGAGCCGAGGAAGGAACCATCGAACTGGGAAACATGGAGCGGCTGACGACAGTCCCCACCGGAGCTAAGGGAGCAGTCAGGAGGAAGAGGAGGAAGCAGGTGGAGGCTTTGACCAAGGAGGCAAGTACGTATCTGAAGCAGAGTGGTCCACAGTGGTGAAGACCCAGAAAGAGAAAGCAGCCCCTGGTATCTGGGAGCTGGCCTCACCCTGAAAGCTGGGCCTGGGTGTTTTGCTGCGGAACGGCCATGATTTCATGGAAAATCAGGGTCACTCTGTGACCAAGATGGAACAAAACAAAAACAAAACTCGGTAACTGTATCTGAACACGGATGAACTGTGAACACTGGCCAACCCATGAAATACCAAAAAGCCCAGGTAATGGGATGACTGCTGCTTCTTTCCTGCTGACAGCTTTAGCTTAGGCCTCATCTACCTTCTCTGCAGGTGAGGCTAAGATACCTAGTCACAGTCACCCCGCTCACTGACAGCATCTAATCCAGAGCAAAGCCCTCTTCTTTACATCGTTCCCCCAAGTCACCTAACACGAACCCAAGTCCTCTGAGCCCTTTTCTTCTATCACTGTCCTACACTGAACTGCCCACAGTCCCCCAAAGTGTGGTGTGGTCTCCATCACTGCACCCAGCAATAAACCCAACTTGTTCAACTACGACTGTGTTCCTAGTGGTCTCTAGCTAGAAGACATTGACAAGAGGTTTTAGATGCTGCCCTGGCCTTGGTATGTGGCAGTGTAGAAATGTGGTTGCTAGAATCAAGGATAAAAAGCATTCCCTTGTCAGGGTGATGAGAGTCACGCACAGGAATGTTCTGGAAAGTGATTGCAAGGGAACAGGGCTCAGAAGGTGGGGAGACAGGAGACAGGTAATACAGCTTCTGAGGAAAGTGGAAGAGCACCATGGGAGGACAGGAAAGATGACCCGAGCAGGGGGCACAGGCCTCAGGAGCGCAGGGACTTCTGTAAGTACATCAGTGATACGGAAGGTGAGGTGGGGGACAGAGTATATTCCCACTAGGCGCCATAATTCTTCATGCCTTTGCCTGTAGAGCTCCACCCTGGGTGGAATATGGTCCATGAGAAATCTCCCTTCTCCCCAAGACATCCTTTAGCCACCAGATCTGCAAGAACCAGTTCTTTTCCCTGCCCTCCGAAAGGAAGGGTG